CATTAAAATCTACAACACCTTCATTAAATGATTTTCGGTTAAGACGCCTGACTTTAATAATCTGCCCACAGCCCTACGGCACTGTCACAAATTTAATTACTTCATCATCATTCATGTTGGTAGGGATACCAGAAACAACACCCATTCTAGTAATGTTATAAGTAGGAATGCTGGCAGTGAATTTACAAATATTTAAGAGGGGGTTAATTAGGAATGCATTAGCATCCTGAGGGGATGAAAACTGTACGGATACTCTATTCCTTCCAACTTTTTTAATACCATCTCTGACAATATTACTTATATTGTTTTTAAAAAGAAAAAGTCCAAACGAAACAGGATGGAGAGTTGTATCAGAGCCTAACTGGCTCTCCACGCGAGAAACATGTACCATGTAGGGACCACTGTCATTGTTTGTGTATTTGTCACGACTAACAAAGGTTTTCGTTTGAGTTTGGAGACGTTTAAGAGGGGGGGCACTTACCTCATCGTTCCTGGTTTCTTCCACCGTAGCGTTGCAGACCACATTGGCAAACTGTTCTAAGGGGTTGGAAGGGGTTGAAGGTTGATCGGGTAAGGGAGGAATGGGGGTGAAAGGAGGGGTTACTGGACATGGAATATCGGGAGGGTCGGGCGGTTTATTTCCGTTCATGTTCACTTACCGGTAATAATGTTTAGTTACAAACAACACACCGTAACCAAGGACAGCACAAAATAACAAAAAAAAGACCCAATAGTCACAAAATCACCAAAGGTTTGAAAAAATTCTAGACGCACGTGCTAACCAAACGAACGACGCGACAGAATCCCAAATCTTTAATCAGTTAAGTGAGCAATTCTCAAAATAATGCTGAATGATTATTGTAGTGTTGTTCCATAAATTGACTTAATTTTTTTTAAATGGTAGAAAAATATTATGTTCAAGATAATAATTAAATAAATAAAATCACTGAATTACTGTTTACATTCCTGCTTTCATTCTTATGAAAAAATTGATAATTTATGAAAAAAAAACAAAAAAAGATAAACTATTGAGTGTGCAAATGTATGGAGAGTGATGTATCCCATTTAGCAGTGTATGACTTTCCATATGTAGTAACGGAACGTTACCTTGTCTATGATTGACAAATGTCAAATGTGCTTTATGTCAACTCCCCCCTCTTGTCGCATCAACCCAAGAAGCAACACGTAGCATGAATCCTTAGATTTATAATATAATATTAATACTTACAATAAATGTAAAATAAACTCAACAATCAACTGAAGAAGACCTACATATTATTTTAAAAATAATGAAGACAACAACACATGGCGCAGTCGGTAGGATTTTCAAAGATTGAAAACGTGCCGGTCACCGGTTAGTATAAAACATGAGCCTGCATTACTATACTTAACACATAATGTCAGAGGATGAAAAAGGCGTTATGACGTGTGCGGTGGAATATAAAATGCCGAAAGGTTTAAATCTGGACAACATCGACAACTGTTATACACAATGGCAGAGATTCAAACAGAGTTTCAGGACGTTCATCATGGCAGCCGGTGTAGAAAAATTTTCTGAAACTCGGAAAGCGGCAATATTGCTAAATTGCATCGGACAACAGGCTCAGGAGCTTTATTTCAATGTGCTAAAAATCGACGAAAAGGCAAAATTAGAAGATGTACTAGATGTCTTTGAAAATTATTTTAAGCCAAAGCAGAATGATGTAATTAATACATATAACTTTAACAAGAGAACACAAGAAGAGGGTGAATCCTTTGATGCTTTCTATACAGCAATCAGGAAGATGGCAGAAAACTGCAACTTTGGAGACCAGAATGAGCGCATGATACGGGACAGGATAGTCATCGGTGTCAAGGAGCAACGGATGCAACAAAAACTTCTCGAAGTAAAAGACTTGACGATGAACAAGGCAGTAGACATATGTAGATCTGCGGAGCTGTCCAAGGAACATTTGAAGACACTGGCTAAGTCGGAAGTTCATGCGGTGCAGGAATCAAAGTCATCTCGGCAACACACATCATTTGAAAATAGAGCTAAGTATTTCAATAATAATTATAAAGATAACAAATTTAATATTGATAAGAATAGATCATTTAACAGTAATTTTAAAAATAATGAAGGCAAAGTCAGTTTCAATAAATATTTTTATAAGTGTAAAAAATGTAATACTGAACATGGTCAGAGACAATGTCCTGCATGTGGGAAAAAGTGCACTAAATGTAATAAAATGAATCATTTCAGTGTAGGTTGCTATCTTACAAATGAAAATAAAAAAGTTCATAATATTAACGAACCTTGTCAGAATAGTGTGCATGACTTATGACTAGTTAGCACTATAGATATTAAGAATAATGAGTGGATAGAAAAACTAAGAGTTGAAAATAAAAGAGTGACATTCAAATGTGACACAGGTGCACAGATTAATGTTATTAGTTCACAAGATTTGAAACAATTAGTCGATGATGAGAATAATATCAGTTTAACTGAGACTATAACTATAATAGAGGTCTTTGGAGGTGGCAAGTTATTTCCTTTAGGGAAAATAACATTAAAAGTTTATAATAATAATATTAATGATGATGAGTATGTAAAACTTGAATTTGTAATAATAAAAGAGCAGGTGAGACCTATTTTAGGTTTAAAGTCACTATTAGAGCTGAAGTTGTTAAATAATAATAATATTAATGTGATTCTGTTAACATTTTGTATCTGTGGCAACATTCTGTACGACACTATTGAATCTGCACATCTCTACCTCTTCTGCTAAGATGGCGTAATATAGTAAAATGTGTGTTTGCGGTGCATTACTTGAAATCCAATATCATCTCTTTATATAATACCATAAAACCAAATAGTTGTGTTTAAATAAAATCCCGGACCATCCTACATGGTAGCAATGCGTGGTTCATGCGAGTTCAAATTAATTTAAAAATTAAAAAGTGTGCCGCAAATCGTACATAAAATAAAACTGCTAGAAATTGCAAATAAAATAAAAAAAATTAACAACCAGTGCTATATATAAAAAATGAATCACCACGAAGAACAACATAATATAGAAAAGCTAATAGATGCGGAATCTTTTCATATGTGGAAATTCGAAATAACAATACACCTAAAATCACATGGGCTTAGTGAAATAACAAATGGCCAACAAGCCGAAGGAAAGCTTGATGAACTAAAGGACGCCAAAGGGCAAAAGATTATACTACAAACAATTGACAAGAAATTAAAATCTCACATCATAAATTGCACATCTGCTAAAGAAATGTATAAAAAACTTTGTGACCTGTTTGAAGGAAGTGAGTTAAGAAATAAATCAAAATTGCTACAAGAGTTCTTCAACTACAAATATAATGAACAAACAATAAATCAGTTAGTAACTGGCATTGAAAATTTAGCTGTGAGACTAAACAACCTCGGACACAAAATTGATGATGACCTGATCATGTCAAGAATACTTACTTGTTTACCGGAGAGATTTAAGTACTTTGCCACCGCGTGGGAGTCAACATCTAACAATGAAAAAACCCTAATAAATCTCACAAATAGATTATTGTTAGAGGAGACCCGCAATTCTAACTGTGAAGAACAAATTGCATTCAAAGCTGTAAACAATAAAAAATGCTTCAAGTGCAACAAAACAGGACATTTTCAGTCACAGTGCAAAGTGTGTAACATTTGCAAAAGATCAAACCATCAAGAAAAAGACTGCAGATTTAAAAATAAAAACAAACAATGTTCAATTTGTAAGAAAACAAATCATTTAGAACAAAACTGTTTCTTCAGAAATAAAACCAATAAAAAAGAAAACAAAGATACAGCACTACTAACAAATGAGACACCAAATAGGAATAATAAATTGAAATTTATAGTTGATTCAGGAAGCACTTCACACATGACAAATAACATCAACATTTTAAGTAAATATGAGGAACAACAGTCCCAAATATCTGTTGCTAATAATGACACCATACTATCTCAAGGAGCTGGAACTGTACAAGGTATGAATTGTCAACTATTAAAAACTTTATATGTTCCTGATCTGGCACAAAACGTAATGTCAATTAACTCAATTACAAACAACAATGGAACTGTGTTGTTTACACAAAATAATGTTCAAATATATAAAAAAGGACAGTTGATACTCAAAGGAGAGAAAGAAAATGGATTGTACTACATAAACACAAGCCAAGAAAATCATGAAAATACTCTGTTCTTAACCAAAGAGAAAGGAACTGCCTTAGAATGGCACAGAAGACTTGGACATCCCGGAAAGGACATATTAGAGATATTACCAAACATGGCTGATGGAATATTGTTAGAAGGAAATAAAAGAATAGAGCAGTGCGAGATATGTATTAAAGCGAAACAAACAAGATTACCTTTTACTTCAGAAAGAAAAAGAGCAGAACGCCCATTGCAAATTATTCATTCTGACATATGTGGTCCATTTGATAAGCTAACTCATGATGGAAATCGATATTTCATAACAATCTTAGACGATTACAGTCATATCACTAAAACATATTTAATGAAACATAAAAATGAAGCTTTTACTCTAATAAAGGAGTATATAGAAGAAAAAGAGAGAGAAAAGAATGAAAAAGTTTCGTGCATAAGATGCGACAATGGAGGAGAATATAGAAGCAACGAACTGGAAATATGGTGTTCAAAGAAAGGGATAAAACTGGACTATACAATACCATACACACCACAGTTGAACGGAAAGGCGGAACGGTTAAACCGCACTATACTTGAGAAAGTCAGAGCATTACTATTTGACTCAAACATGAAAGATGAGATGTGGGGAGAAGCTGTTTACTGTGCTACCTACCTACTCAATAGGCTGCCCAGTAAAACACTTGATAACAAAACTCCATATGAGATGTGGTATAAGATAAAACCAGATATTTCAAATATACAAGTATTTGGGTGTACGGTGTATGCTAAACAATTAGGATCAGTAAGAAAGTTAGATCCAAGAAGTAAAAGACTAACAATGATTGGATATGCAAACAATGGATACCGGCTATGGAACAATGAAAAGAGAAGAGTAGAAATACACAGAGACATAATAATATTCAATGAGAATAAAGAAGATAAAATAAAATCAAATGAGAAAATTAAGATAACACAGAATATAATAAATACAGAAGAAGATATAATAAATACAGAAGAAGATATAATAAGTACAGAAGAAGATATAATAAATACAGAAGAAGACATAATAAATACAGAAGAAGATATAATAAACACAGAAGAAGATATAATAAATACAGAAGAAGCAATAAGTACAGAAGAAGAAAACTTGAACTTAAGAAGACCAGTACAACAGATAGAAAAGCAAAACATAGACATACCTAACACAGAACTAGGTACAAGAAGTCAAAGAACACGAAAAATACCAGAGAAGCTTAAGGATTATGTACTACTTACCTACAAAGAAGCTACCACAGGAATAGAAAAAGAAAATTGGGAGAAGGCAATAGATTCAGAGAAGGAATCATTAAAGAAAAATAAAACATGGAGTCTAATAGACATATCAGAGGCAGGCAGTAAGAAGATACTCACCAATAAATGGATATTTCGAGTGAAAGACGATGGTACCTACAAAGCAAGACTGGTGGTAAGAGGATTTGAGCAAAGAGGTATAGACTTTGATGAAATATACAGCCCAGTGGTAAGTCAGTCAACTCTTAAATCTCTGTTTGCTATTGCAGCATCTAAAAATTCTGAAATTGTTACTTTTGATGTTAAAACTGCATTTTTATATGGCAAATTAGATGATGATATCTATATGTATATACCAGATGGTTATGATAAAGAACCTAACAAAATATGTAAATTGAATAAAGCTTTGTATGGGCTCAAACAAGCACCAATTACATGGAATAAGACTTTTACCAAGACAATGTTAAAACTAGGATTGATTCCTACTAAAACTGATAGATGTGTGTTCGCTAATAAAAGTAAAAATGTAATAATTGCTATATACGTGGACGATGGATTGGCTATTTCAACTAATAAAAAGAATTAGAGAACATTCTGAATTGTCTAGAATTGAAATTTCAAATTAAAATATTCAAAAATCCTAAAAGATTTGTTGGGCTGGAAATTTGTAAAGATGACACAGGTATTTCATTAAAACAAGAAACATATATTCAAAATTTACTTAAAAACTTTAACATGATAGATGCTAAATCTACTAGTATACCTTGTAATATTAATAAAGATACTGACACACAGACAAACATGACATTACAGCAGATTAATTTTCCATATAGGGAATGTGTTGGTGGATTGTTATATTTATCAACAAGAACCAGACCAGATATAGCAGAAGCAGTAAATAAAGCCAGTAGAAAAATAGAAAACCCTAATCAGACCGATGTCATAGCAGTAAAGAAAATTTTAAGATATTTAGCAGGAACTAGAGATAAAGGCATAAAATACTTAAAAGGAGGAAATATTAATACGTTAAATGCTTATTCTGATTCAGATTATGCAAATGATGTAACTACTAGACGTAGTACCAGAGGTTTTGTTATAATGTTATGCAATGGACCTATATCATGGTGTTCCAAACGACAACCAATAGTCACTCTATCATCGACAGAAGCTGAATATATTGCTGCAGCTGATTGCTGTAAAGAAACATTTTATCTAAAATCATTACTTTGTGAATTACTTAATTGTAAAATTAACATAACTCTGAATATAGACAACCAGAGCTCTATACAATTAATTAAGACAGGATAATTCAATAAAAGATCAAAACACATAGATGTTAGATATTACTTTATTCATGAACATTTTATGAAAGGAAATATTGTTGTTAACTATTGTCCCACAGATGAGCAAGTAGCTGATATTTTTACCAAAACGCTTGGAAAAATTAAATTTGAAGCTCACTGTAACAGGTTAATACAGTAAATAAATTTTAATAACATGTTAAATTAAACTTAATACATAGTTTAAAGTATAAGCTAACTAAATAAATAAATAAAACATTTGTATTGTAAAACTTAGGATTAATTTTAAGAGAACCGCTTACATACATATTAGGAAGTGTAATAAATTAACATAAAGATGCTTGCATTTATGAGTGTTATGTATAAGAAATTAAAAGGTTAAAAGTTTTTGTATTACATGCATAATTATGTACTTTAGTTAATAATAAAAGTAAAATATAATAGTAATTGCAGAATATTTGTAATGTAAAATGTAGTGCAGAATCTTGCCATAAAACGCTATATGTATTAATATTTTTCAAAATGGTTAAATAATTAAATTTTAAAAAATAGGAAAAGGTGTTAACATTTTGTATCTGTGGCAACATTCTGTACGACACTATTGAATCTGCACATCTCTACCTCTTCTGCTAAGATGGCGTAATATAGTAAAATGTGTGTTTGCGGTGCATTACTTGAAATCCAATATCATCTCTTTATATAATACCATAAAACCAAATAGTTGTGTTTAAATAAAATCCCGGACCATCCTACAGATTCAAACTAAGAATGAATGTAATAATACTAAGGAAAACATTATTAATAAGAATAAAAAACTTTTTCAGGGCGTGGGTGAATTTAAGAGTGCTCTGCAGTTGCGCATTCAACCGGGTGTGCAGCCTGTAGTGAGGCCACCACGGAGAGTGCCTAATGCACTTATGAAGCGCCTCGCTGACAAGTTGGAGGCTCTGGTGATGCACAAAGTCATTGCGAGAGTGAAGCACCCAAAAAGTTTTGTAAGCAATTTGGTTATTATTGAAAAGAAAGATGGTTCATTAAGAATTTGCTTAGATCCTAAAGATCTTAATAAAGTATTAATAAGAGAGCATCATTTGATACCAACAATAGATGAAATTGTGTCTAAGTTGTGCAATAAAAAATGTTTCTCAGTATTAGATTTATCCGATGGATTTTATAATATTAAGCTCAGTGAGGATTCAAATGATCTTTGTACTTTCAATAGCCCTTATGGCTGTTTTAAATTTTTGAGAATGCCATTTGGTTTGTCAGTAGCGCCTGAAATATTTCAAAGGTATAGTGAAATGGCCTTTGGTGATATACCAGGTGTAATTGTCTATTGTGATGATTTGTTAATAAGTAGTGACTCGGAGCAAGAGCATGATGCAATATTAAGAAAAGTTTTTGAAAGAGCATTAGAACATAACGTGAGATTTAATGAGAAAAAATTTCAATATAAATTAAAAGAAGTAAAATACTTTGGTCACCTGTTTTCTGAAAAAGGCATGAAAATTGACCCAGATAGGGTAAATGCAATATTAAATATGAAAAGTCCAACTAATAAAAAACAATTACAATTTTTTCTTGGAATGGTCAGTTATTTAAGAAAGTTTATTCCTAATATGGCTGATATAGCCTCACCATTACATTTATTGCTTAAAAAGGATGTGGAGTGGCTGTGGACAGAAGTTCATGAAAATGTTTATAATAATCTTAAGAAAAAAATTACTGAAGCTCCAATCTTACAGAATTTTAATAGTAAGTTACCGATTGTAGTACAATGTGACGCATCCAAGGATGGCATTGGTTGTTGTTTATTACAAAATAACAAACCAGTTAGCTTTGCATCTCGTAGTTTAACTCAGTCAGAGAAAAATTTCTCACAGATAGAAAAAGAATTATTAAGTGTGGTGTGGGCCACTAAAAATTTCATTATTATATTTATGGTCAAAAAATTACTATCATTAATGATCATAAACCATTAGAATCTTTGTTAAAAAAGCATTTGCATGATATACCTTCGCCTAGATTGCAAAGATTAAAACTTAAATTATTAAAATATAATATTGAGTTCAAATACTTACAAGGAAAATTTATGTATATAGCAGATCTTCTATCGCGTTCATACTAGGAATCTGATGATGTTGATGAACCTTACATGTATGAAGTTATACATTTTGTAGGCTTAAGTCAGAATTTAGAATGTGTGGAAGAGCAAAAGCTTAAACTTATTAGTGAAAGTTCTAATGATAGTGAGCTAGCTGAATTAATTGAATATATTAAGAATGGTTGGCCTAATAACATTCCAGATCATTTATATAGTTATCACAAGTTAAAGGATGACTTGTCATTTGATGACAAATTAGTATTCTTTAAAGAAAGATTGATTGTACCTAAAAGTTTAAGAATGTCTACATTAAAGATTTAACATGAAGGACACATAGGTATTTTTTTTTTTTATTGGGACTAATCCCACCCACACGCCCACCACTGTAACTCCTCTACACCAGGATCCACAGCAGTGACCCACGAACACACCGAGTTATGACACTCGGGAAGTCCCAGGAAGAAATTTGTTAAGGCAATTTGCTTGGGCTGTGTTCGGATTATTCGCAGTCGAGCCAGGTTGCTGATTTTTGGCGATTAATCGGTTCGCCTCACTAGTTGGCGCACTAGTGAACGCCTCACTGGTGAACGCTTTTGGGTCGCCCTCTTCTTCTCGACGTCTTCTAGTGAACGGACGTGCGCGCTTGACCACAAGGCGCGGTCGATATTACTTCGGCGGCGGTTGAACTACCCACACACACAATTATCACCGACGACGGCAAACAAGGTAAGACTGTGATTTGTTTTGGATACGGCTTTCGCAATTGTTTTTAGCATCCCAGTTAGAATAGGTCAAGGATTCCGGGAAGGCCCTAACCCGTGCCTAGGATCCATTACTCACCACGGAACTATCGAAGGTAACGGCCACAACATAAAATTTGGTCCTTAGAGACGGATAGGACTTTGCTAGCTAGATAACATCCTAGATCATTCTTTACGGTATTTTTATTGGTAAATTTGCTATAAAATCGGTATATTTTAAGCATTCGGTTCGTTCTTCTTAATTTTTATATTTTTTTGTTGTGGGTAGGTGAATATTGTAACTGTTAACGGTTCAGTACAAGTCCATTTATATTGGTTTATTCGGTTTAATTTAACGTTTATTGCGTAACAATGTCTAAATCACAGACTATTAAATTTAAAACCCACTGCGATTGGTTTATTAATACGTTAGATATGGCTAACAGTAAAAAAATACACGTCGGGTGTAATTTCGGCACGGTTGCGTAAATTGGATCAGAAGTATTCTGATTTATATGATGCTTTTGAGGCCCTTTTGAATGTGGTTGACGATAAAGACCAGGAGCTAGTGCGTCAGTATGACGCAAGGTATAAGGAAGCTGAGGAAATTTATAACCAGCTGGAAGCGGTTTCAGCGGCTTACCCTGGGTTGGACGGGACCCATAAACCAACGGAGAGTGCCCCCACCGCACGTCTTCCTACCATCAACTTACCGGGTTTTGATGGAGATATATACTCTTGGACTAGTTTCATTTCATTGTTTTCATCCTTAGTGTTAGCTAGGAATGATATTTCGAAAACGGAAAAGTTTCATTACCTTATTTCGCACGTCACTAATGAGCCTAAGGCATTGATAAAACATTTACCAATGATAGATTCGTCCCTAGACTCGGCGTTAGAAATATTACACGGAAGGTACGAAAATAAACGGTTATTGGCGGATAGTTATATTTCAAAACTTTTGAATTTACCCACCATGAGCGGAGTGGCGGGACTTCGTTGTCAAATTTTGAATCCCTTATTGGAATCTTATAGGGCTTTAGAAAACTTAGGCCTTCCGGTTAAAGAGTGGAGTTATTTATTACTTCACATTAGTTTAAATAAACTTCCGGCGGAATTAAAAAATCGGTTTGAACATAGGTTTGGCGGTAATAATTTAGTTCTACCTACGTTCGGTGAGCTATTAGAATTTTTACAAAATGAATGCAGATTCATAGAAACCTCAACAGATATATCGGTTCGGTCTGCGCAATCGGTTCCCGCGAAGAATAATACACGCACGTATAAAATGCATAATGACTCGTATAAGCGTAATGGTTATCCTCGAAACATTCATCTTACTAATGTAAATCAAGGCAATAACGGCCCAGGCCTTCGGAATACATGTACGTACTGTGATCGGTCAAATCACACTATTTCTAAATGTTACAAGTTCGCTAATTTAAATAGAAATAGTCGTAGAGAATTTATAAGAACCAATGCATTATGTTATAAGTGCCTTGAGCCACATACAGCGACATCGTGCGGTAAACAAATACCATGCGATATATGCGGACACGACGGACACCATCGCTTGATTTGTTTGAGGGGGCGGCAACCGTCGCCTATTAGACGCGTAATGACTACAATACACAACGGCAACATTGCGCGCGGGCATAAGCCGAGGTCTCTCGTTACCTGTGCGTCGTGCAGTGGCGACCGCTCATGTAGTCCCCCCCACTTACCTGATAGTAGCTGTGTGCAGCGCAGAAATGGTAAAGAATGTTTATATAACGCCGGCGGATTGGCGCCGGGTGGGTCATGTAACCAATAGCAACTACTTGGCGTCTCGGATAGTTTAGTAAATATTGTTTCGCCGGGCGCCTCAGATATATCAATACCTAAACTTATAGATAATGTTACTTTACCTACGGTTACGGTTCAGGTAAAGAGTACGGATAATAATTTTATTAAGGCTCACTGCTTACTAGATTTAGGATCGCAATTAACTATAATACGGAGTGATTTTGTTAATAGATTGAAATTACGTCGGCATTGGGGGATAAGGAATTGAATGAGACATGCGGGGTCTCATTAATTCATTTCAAACCTTTAAATTCGGATATTTGTTTAAGTACTACGGGAGTCATTTTGAAGAAACCCACGAGTTATTTAGCACATAAATTAAATATTAATAACAATTTTAATAGCTCGGACTCGGGACTTTCTCATAAACGAGAAATAGATATTATTTTCGGTTGCGACATATTGGGTAAGATTTTAACTGGGGATAAAATTGATTTGGGCATAAACGGGCCTTATGCCTTGAGCACTATTTTCGACTATGCGATTTTCGGCCTGTACCGTCCACAACACACGAAGATTATTTCGTGGGGACGGGGTTAATTGAAGCGGTTGAACGGTTTCGGCACACCGAGGAACCTCCTCGTACTAAAATAAGGGACCCTTCGGACATTGAATGTGAAGAATTATTTATGTCCACTACGACACGGGGTATAGATGGGAAATATACAGTACGCTTACCTCTTCTTCCGGAATGTGAGAAAAGGTTGTTAGGTGATTCACGACTGTCGGCCTTAAGACAATTTTATTCTTTGGAGCGTAGGATGGAACGGAACCCGGTATTTCGTGAAAAATATATTCAATTTATGACGGAATATTTGGAACTCGGGCACATGAAGGTTTCAAATTTTGAATTTGATACAGGACGCGAACACTATTTTATACCACACCACGGGGTGTTTAAGAAATCAGGAGATGTCGGTAAAATTCGAGTAGTGTTTAATGGTAGTTATCCTACTACTTCTGGGTCATCCCTGAATGATAATCTTTATTGCGGAGAACGTTTAACGAATGATATTACGGATATAATTTTGAACTTTCGGTGGCCTCGGATAGTATTTACTAGTGATATTAAAATGATGTTTCGACAAACTTGGATACACCCTGATGATCGTCGGTACCAATTAATTTTCTGGCGCTCCTCGCCAG